GATGTCTAGGGGGTGAAATAAAGAGTAAAGAAAAAAAGCTCATCTACATAAATATTTAATAAAATGCCACAGCAGACCACTGAAGAAATCCCACAGGATTTTAAAATCTTGTTTAGTCCTTTAGCATTTTCATAGGACTTTTTACAGAAATGGCTTAACAAGCCAAGTTCTTTCAAACAATACAAAAGTATTAAGTGCAAATATTTTAAAGAGTAACGGCACTTAACAGTACTCAACATGGAAACTCTTTAGATTTTTTTCAAAAGTGCCCTTGGCCATAAAGTTAACTTTGGACTCTATTTTTTACCCAACTCTGCCTGAGAAGCCATTATTGCCAAATGTTGCTGATTTTTCTGATAAAAAGCTAGTAAGGCAGAAGAGCTTGATCCGTTTTGCTCTTTCCCCACCTTGTTTCAAATAAGTGAAGATATAAACAGCCTCTCTCATTCTTGAAAAAAAGAAAAAAAAAAATCCACAGTTGCCCCAAACTGGGCCCTTGGACACAAGACTGAGTCTTTGGGGTCAAGCTGCCAGGCTGTAGAGGCTCAGGACTGGGCCAAGGTCAAGTCTGCACATTGGGGAGGAAGGGCAAAAGGCAAGGAAGTGCTGAGCCACTGCAGTTCTCTGCTAATTCTCATGTGAGGGTGGGTCAGCCAACAGAACCACAGGACTCATGCAAGAGCAACAAGATCCCCAAAGTGGCCTTTGTGGGATCCTAGGAATACATGAAAAAGCTAGAGGACACTTCCAAGGAGTGCTTGACCACCCAGCCCCCTTCTGAGTCATAATCCCAAGGGCTGAGTATGATCCACAGCCTTTGAGAAGTGCTTGGAAAAAGCTCTGGCTCCGCTGGGCCGGTCATTCCTGGTAGAGCCCTTCTAAGTCTGCAGACTTCATAGCCAGCTGACAGTCGCCACTGGAGTTTTGTCGTGTCAGAGGTCTGTTTGGTAACAAGAGAAAATGGTTAGCTCTGGGGCCTCTTTGAAGAGCTTTAATTGAGAGTACACAAAGCTGAATATATGATATTCTTTGTTGGTTTATTTTTAGCTGCTTCTTGCAACCACACCAGATTTAAGGCTATACCTATTTTATAGATGAGGAAACTCAGGGCAGACTGAGTCAGGGGTAGGGATTATGCCCCTTCCCCCTATTCTAATTTGGGTATTGCTAATGAGCAGTGCATGAAGTTACAAAAACATGCACGGTAAAGGATCTAAAAAAAAGTACAAGACAGACGAGGGGATTTTAATACAACAAAGTAAAAAAGGTCACATTTCAATTAACCTTTAAGAAACTACCACTTACTGAGTTTTGGTGTACTATCAAAGAAGAACATCCATAGTGCTCTGAAAAAGCTTTACCTCCCTTTGCCAGCCACACATTTGTGAGGCTGGGTCTTCAAAACCCAGCTGGCGTCTATTAAGGCAGACATTGAAGATACTTGTGAAAGGTAGGGGCACCTGAGTGACTCAGTCGGTTAATCATCTGCCTTCGACTCAGGTCATGATCCCAGAGTCCTGGGCTTGAGCCCCGAGTCGGGAATCCCTGCCCAGCGGGGAGCCTGCTTCTCCCTCTCCCTCTCCCTCTCCAGCCCCGGGCTTGTGTGCACTTTCTCTCTAACAAATGAATAAAATCTTAAATAAAAAAAAAAGCTATTTGTGAAATGTAAAACTCAGTCATTTCATTTTGTATTGGAAAATAGTTACTTTTCATAGAGATGTTATTTATATCAACAGGTAATACTGTCCCTTTTAAATGAGTATTTTTCAAATTTGTTGTTAATTTCTACTACAGTAATTATTGGTCCATTTAAACCACATGAACAAAACCTTGGGAAGACTCAGTAATTTTAAGAAGGCAAAATGTGTCCAGAGAACGAAAAGCTTGAGAACCACCGCCCAGGTGAAAACAATGGGTCCAGGTGCCTCAGTTGGGAGGACGAGGTGAGCATAAGGAGATCAAGGACAAAGCTTGGAAATCTTTTTAATCTCTTCATTGACAAACAGGTGGTATTCAGATTTTGTTACTCCTTGTGGTATAGCAGAGCGGGGTTCAGAGGCAGGGAGAGATTTTTGGCTCAGAAGCATCAGCTTCAATAAGCCAAACTTAAGCCAATATTTCTCCTTTTAACCCCTGTAAGACTGAGAGTGATCAAAACAATTTATAAGAAGCTGGATGTAATTCCAGGGCTATCAACCAGGCAATCCTGTGACAACCAGCCCTGAGCTAGTTTAAATTATACCCACTTCACATTTTATTTTCTAACCTGAGTAACAACAGGATAACATTTTGGTAAGAAGTTCAAGGGCTACCCTATAGAAAAACAAAATTCAGGATATTGGTTCTTTTAGCGCAAGGGTTGGCAAATTCTTGGGCCAAATCCAGCCTGCTGCCTGTCTTTGTAAATACAAAGTTTTATTGGAACACAGCCATGCTCACTTGTTTTCTTATTGACTATGTTGCTTTTTGGCTATAGCAGCAGAGTTAAGGAGTTGCAATACGGACCACATGGCCCGCAAAGCCTAAAATATTTATCATCTGGCCCCTTACAGAGATTGTCTACTGACTCCTGTTTTGGAATCACTTGGAATCTTGGGTAAGAGGTTTTGGAGTTAACTGACCTGCATTTAAGTCCCTTCTCTGTTACACTTTGCTTTGGGATTTGGTTTCATTTCCCTGGTCATAGGATGGAGCTAGAACCTGCCTCACAGGGTGGTTGGAGGATTATATGAGCTAAGGCCTGGAAAGTGCATAACAGAGTCCCTGGCCGGAGCAAGTACTTGATGGGTATTAGCCACTATCAACAATTAAGCAAGAACTTAAAGGAAGCACAATGGAGTCACATCCTACTTGAGACTTAGATTCTAAATTCAACAAAGAGAAAAAGATAAAAATCAAGCATTAAAAAAAAAAATCATCTCTGAAAATCGCTCAGGAGGGTGGCCCGTTATACACCAGACTGTCTTACAGTAATTCCAGCATAGCTGGTTTTCCCTCCAGTATTTAAATAGATCACTGTTCCTTCAGCTGAGGCTCCAGATGAAGGGTAGCTGGCGTTTAGAAGCCATAATGTAGGAACAAAATCCATACCATCAAACACAAGATCACACTCAGTATGGTGACACACTCACATTCTGAAGAGCAGAGAATGAAGACAGACATTGGGAACAGCAGATTCACAGCCCCCTGTATCATCCTGAGATATATGCACGGTGAGTGGAATGGTGGCTCATTATTCTCGTAGCCCCCCGCAAAAAAACACCTTATTTTGAAGTTTTGTAAATTTAATGGCGTCTTTTAAAAGGAATCAATAACAATTACTTCACATAGCTTTGCCACAACAAAATGAGTAATTGTGTGTGGTGGATGATGACAGCATTTTTTTTTGTTTGTTTGAAACTCCATTGTCAATTCTCATTTGGTGTCTGATGTGTATGGGAAACTATACAGAACACCGGCCTCTCACAATTTTACTTCTAGACATCCAACTAGGGTTAGGGTAGTATTTGTGAAAATCCCCCAAATGGTAAAGATTAAATTACTGCGTTAACATGTATTTACCTGGGAGGAAACCAGTAGTTGACAAGGCTGGAGACCATGACATAGGACGCAATGATTGTCCCCGACACGGCAAGTGATACGAAGCTCAAGCCACAGAGGACACAAAGCAGTGAGAGGCCGCCCACAGAGATGACCAGTCCTAGAGGAGAGCATAGTTAGAAGCATTCAGCTAAAACAAACTGAAAGCTGCCAGACCCCAAGCCACTGGTGTTTATGATACTTAACTCAGATTTTTTAAGTGAGGAGATTTCTCATAAAAAAAAGCCAGATTTCCAGCATCACTTAAAAAGGAGGTAACCTAACCACCCGAGGGGGCCTCACTGCAAGGCAAACACTCTTTTCCTTGCCTTGGGAGGGGTCAAAGAGCTCAGAACTCCAACCTCATGGCTACAGTGATACAATTTCAGGGACGGACCCTGAAAGGGAAGGAAATCAGAGAATATAAATGGACGTGCTGCTTTTTCACAAAGATTTACAAAATCCTCGATCTGTGTTTTTCAAAGTGTGGTGGACAACCACTGTATCAGAATCAGATGCCTCAGAAAGGCTTGTGTAAAATTCTGATTTCTGGACCCCACTCCAGAACTACTAAATAACCATCTCTGGATGAGGTCTGGAAGTCTGCATTTTCAAAAAACAAGTAAACTTACATACACTCAAGTTCTAGATTACTTTTCTAAAGGCTTTGTATGTGCTATTCCTGTTTAGAAAGTCTTTTCTTCCCCAAAGGAAACAAAAGTTGTTACATGTCTTTAAATCCTGTCCTCTGTAGAGCTTTGCACAACAGGACCAAAAGTGGCTCCCTTCTCCTAAATTTGCTTTTGCTACAATCCTCATTCACTCCTCCACCCATTCATTCATCCATCCATCTATCTGTCACTATTTACTCAGCAGCTTCTCTGCCAGGCTGTATTTTGCCCATCCGTCGATGATGCCCACCTTCTCCTTCAGGGGTAAATTGCCTTATCCACAGTCCCTTGGGCAGGGAAACAACTCTGGGTGCTCTCAGCTCTGGGAAGCCCTAGGATAAACCAATGACCCAATGGCAACCAGCTCTACGGCCAGCATCTTGTGGTTTGTGATCTGACACGAAAAAGCAAACTGAGCCAATCAGATCTGCCTTCTCAGTAATTTTACCTTAGCAACAAAGGGAGAAGATGACAGTTGGCAGTGTGACCTCAGGAGGAAAGGTGGAGAAGGGGGAACATTAGTGCCTAGCAAGACACCTGGCAGGCAACACGTGTTCAATAACAAGGTGTGGAATAAATTGGACTCTGTTACCATTTGTGCTGAAACCACTCTGTTGTACCATGGGCTCTGCTAAACATTTTATGGGACTCTAACTTTCAATCCCTACCACAACCCTTTGAGACAGTATTATTATTTCCCCAGTTTACATATGAGGAGTTTGAGGTTCAGAGAGGGTAATTTGTCCAAAATCACACTGGTGGAGGTAGGATTCTAATGTGGACTCCAAAGTCCATCTTGTAACTACTCTGACAATCCGCCTCGGTCACTGTGACCTTTTCAGGAACAGGAACATTGGATGAGAGTGGCAGCTACCCAATAAATACCCGTGCCCCCAGCTGAATCATTTTCCAAAGGTGCTGAACAGATGAGCAGGATACCTTCCAGTAAAATGACTCCCACAAAAGCAGCCAGGGAGGTAAGCACCACAACGAGCAAGAAGAACCCGACAGGAACGGCTGACATGACCACAAACACCAGCACGGTGAGGGCCATGAAAGGGTGCCTGTCCAGGTACTGCCCCACCGGAGACTTCATGAAGGCAACCACCTGCAGGCAAGGGAGAAAGAGCCAGGACTGAACACCATGTCTGAACCCCAGGCTGATGGATCCACCTGGGCTGCAGGAAGTATAACTAGAGGCTGGAAAGTTGGAGGGCTCGTAAGGAACATAACAAGTCAACACTAACAATTCTCCCAAGGCATGAGTCACCCTGGCAACAACTTAAGGCAGCGGTAGACAGATAGCAAGTTTGTGGGTCCCACCCAACCTCAAGTCTTGTGAAAGGAGGAAAGACCTGGTCATGGTTCTAACACTTCACACACACCCTCCCAAGGGGCCCTCGGCACGTGTGCACATGGATGTAACATCCACACGATTTATCTCCTACTGCATGCTGAGGTTTCAGAGCCACGGCCACCGAGGCACATAGAGGTTAAGTCCTCGCTACTTGGCATCACCTGGGAGCTTGTTATAAGCTCAACATCTCAAGCTCTGCCCCAGACCTGCTAAATCAGGTGATTTTTAATGAGCCCCAGGTGACCTGTATACACATGAAAGTCTGAGAAAGCAATGGGACTTGCCTAGAGTCACAGTTTCCAGGTGGCAAAATCTAGGCCCTCAAAGATGAATCTTTTCACTCTAAATGTCAAATGCTTGCAATGGCTGCCACCTTGTTAGGAAAAAATGCTTGCATGTCGTCAACGTGGATACTACAGTCAGGCCACAGCCTGATGACTACTGCAGGCTTATGCTGTGTTAATGAACAAGCTATCTTCCTTCATCAGGCAAGAGAGTTTGTTGATCTGGCTCAGTGGGGGAGGGCTGCTTTAATGCAGAGCTGGCCCTAGAAAATCCACAAGGATGGCCTCCCCCCGTCTTCTTAAGCCCCATTCCGTTTCTCTCCTTACTGACATGTTAGCTCCTGTTGTCTTAAAGTTTCCATCATTCCAGAATTTTCCCCATCAAAACCTTCATAGACATTGGGGAGGGTATGTGCTATGGTGAGTGCTGGGAATTGTGCAAGACTGTGGAATCACAGACCTGTACCTCTGAAACAAATACATTATATGTTAAAATAAAAAAAAAGAAGATAGCAGGAGGGGAAGAATGAAGGGGGGAAATCGGAGGGGGAGACGAACCATGAGAGACTATGGACTCTGAAAAGCAAACTGAGGGTTCTAGAGGGGAGGGGGGTGGGAGGATGGGTTAGCCTGGTGATGGGTATTAAAGAGGGCACGTTCTACATGGAGTATTGGGTGTTATGCACAAACAATGAATCATGGAACACTACATCAAAAACTAATGATGTAATGTATGGTGATTAACATAACATCATAAAAAAAATACTTCCCAGGTCTCATTCCTTAAGGCCTTATAGCAGCTGAAATGAGGAGGAAATTCAAGCTATAGCGATCATGGGTACCACTACCCAAAACACACGTGCCTCCTGGTGACTCCAATGGTGGGAATCTGGGGGCCAGCTGGAAGACATGAGGGTTTTGTAGTTCAAGGTGATGGTGATCAAAGTGCAGGGTTCATGCTGCTTAACTAGAAAAGGCTGTTGTTCCACGAAGCCGCTGCCATCGGTCTTGGGGCTTCAGCATTGCCTACTTAGGAGAATCTCTAGGCCTGACAAATTTCACTTCCAATCAGGCCACAAAAATGAAACAAAACAAAACAAAACATGGCACAATGCCCACCGGCTATACCGCCTCTAGCTACTCCTGAGAAAAGCTACCAGACTTGGCTATTCAACTTCTCTAGCCAGAGATGACTATACTAGGAATGCCTGGCTCAGATAATCAGAACCCAATGAGACTCTCCTGTTAAGGCAGCTGAAGGTGAGCAAGGAGGGGTCATGGGAGCGGGGCTGGTCCCTGGAGCTGTCATAAGTCTTGATTGCTTTCCGGCTCTGAAGTCCACATATATTCTTAGTAAAACCACCCAGGCATCCTCTGACAGACTTAACTGTTCTCTCTGGTCCTTACCATCAAGAGACCCAGTAACCACAGTGGGGAGCAGATGAGGCTAGAACACTCGAAGGCCAGGCTTATGAATTTATACCCGGACCCCCCAGCATAACAACCACATGTGGCCACTGCACACCTGAAATGTGGCTAGTGTCACCGATGAACTAGATTTTTAACTTTAATTTCTATTTAAAAACTGAGAGATGCTTCAGTCACTGGAATGTTTTGAATTACATTTCAAATTAGGTATGTTTCAAATAAGTTTTTCAAATGTAAGTTTTATGAAATCTGAATAGAGAGCATTTTCAATGGAAATTTAGTATCTGAATTGAGACTTGCACTAAGTCTATTAAAAAATGTAAACTATCTCATCGCTAATTTTTTATATTATTACATGTTGAAGTTATATTGTTCTGGATATACTGTGTTATATAAAATATATTGCTAAAATTAATTTTTCATCTTTCTTTTCATGCTTTTTAATATGACTGCTAGCAAACAAAAATCTCTACATGGGTTACATAATATTTCCATTGTAAAGCACTAAAGTTTAACTTTAAAAAAATAAAATAAAATTATAAAAAAAATCTTTAAAAAAATAAAATTATAAAAAAAATAATAAAGTTTAACTTTAAATTTTAAGTTTTAACTAAAGTTTAATCTTTAGGAAAAAACAGGAAGCAAATTGTTGGCATTTGAGGATTACGATATAATCAAAGGACTAATTTAAGAAATAACAACATGGCCGTAATGTGCAAAAGGCAATTATGAAGATTTGCAGGAAGTCAGACAAGAGACACTGATGGCGTAATCTAGGCTGTTGGCAATATGAAAGTGTAATGACAAAAGAAACACCGATAGGACTTGGGGACGGTTTGGCATGGGGATCCAAAAGGAGAAAAGCAGAACTGTTCTTCCAGACCCTGAGGAATCTATTTTTCTCTTAGCCTCTTCTGAGTCTGGGCCGTATAACCAAAAAATAGAAAGTCATTCAGATATGCAGAGAGACCATTTAAGATGCAGTTAAGTCCAGAAATTGTCTTCCCTCAGGAAGGATGGCCCTGCTCAGGCCAGTCTGTCACAGAAGGGGAGGACAGGATTCAGTCACACCTAATAATAGAGAATGTTCATTAAACACTCAGTGGCCAAGCACTGTTTTAAGTGTTTTCATGTATTTCCTCATTTATTTCTCCCTTCAATGCCCAGGAGCAGGTAATGAGGAACATTATTTAAATCCAGGGAATTAGAACATAGCAATTCACTTCTCATGCTAATGGCAACAGAGAGGGGTTCAGTGGGAGGATGGAAAGGTGGACAGTTTAGTTCACAGTAACATGAACTGCAATTTTCCATCCCTCTCCTGGAAGCAGACACATCATCCAACCTGGATTTTCCAGGCATGGTACTGTGCTGAAGAACTCAGGAATGCCAGGCTGGGACAGACTAGCACCATTAGGTGCCAGGCTGTGTGCTACAGCTTCTCCAACAGCTTCTGAGATTATCCTCACAACAAACTGATGAGCCTGGCATTGCTTATTTTAGAGAAGAGGTGATGGGGATTCAGTGGCCTAAGCAACTCGCCCAAGGTCAGACAAAGGCAATTTATTTTAAAATTCACACGAGTACAGCAAGTTCCAAAGTAGGGGTAGTGTGGCCAGTATTTAAGGACATGAAGGTTCCATCTGGAACTATTCAGGAGACAGGCCAATTCCCTGGTGACAGAATGCAAAAGACAATCAGTGTCCACTGTCCCTTGCTACCAGAGAGGAGGAGCATGAAGGCGTCAGGATTATTTAAAACCACTGGTAAGATAGAACACATCAATAAGAGGAGGAAGAAGAACCATATGGTTCTCTCAATTGATGCAGAAAAAGCATCTGACAAAATACAATACCCTTTCCTGATTAAAACTCTTTAGAGTATAGGGATAGAGGGAACATTCCTCAAGTTCATAAAATCCATCTGTGAAAAACCCACAGCGAATATCATCCTCAATGGGAAAAAGCTGAGAGCCTTTCCCTTAAGATCAGGAACATGTCAAAGATGCCCACTCTTGCCACTATTGTTCAACATAGTACTAGAAGTCCTAGCAACAGCAATCAGACAACAAAAAGAAATAAAAGTATTCAAATTGGCAAAGAAGAAG